TATACTATATATATATATATATATATATATATATATATATATATATATATATATATATATATATATTTTAAACCAAAATCTGTTCTAGTTTCTGACTAGTAAGTCTAATGATTTTGAGTAGAACAAAAAGCTTAACATCCAGTTGACCTACCCATCTCCTGAGTATGCAAATGTTGCAGAAATTGTTCTGAGTTTTCCAGCATTTGTTTCATTACTGATTTTGGTCAAGCAACTAACTCAACAGTCTACTGCTTTTAGTCACAGTGGTGGTAATGTGTTAAGTGTACAGTTCACCAAATACAGAACAGACCCCGATAATCAGATGCTGTCTGACCACTTTTTTCTGTCAAAACTTCAGGCAACTTTTCGCAAGCCTTGCTAAGACCTGAACATCGTACCCTTTGTTAAAGGACAAATGTAGCACTAGTTGTGGAACGATTCCCAACCTGGGCATGCTTGCAGGCTAGAACCTGTTTTTCACGGATTCCAAGGCCAGAAGGGACCATTGTGATCCTATATCTGGTTATTGTGTAAGGTGGGGAGGGGAAGTGTCGCCACTTGCCAGCTGCGCTGTTCACTGCAGACTGTCGGGCGCTTCTCTACGCTATGGCGGGGGGCTCCGGGAATACTCACCTTAGGTAGGTGTCAGGCGCAAGGCGTCTCTCAGCAGGCACCAGCCATTGCTCATTTGGCTCCCTAGAGCCAAACAGGAGCTGGGATTCCTCTGCAGCCATTTCTCCTGCAGCAGCAAAACAGAGATTCAGTCACTGCCTCGCCACGACCCCCGCTTAGCCGCTGCACCCCAGGATCCCGCCCCGCCGAGACCTTAGCACCCACCCACCCCTCGATCCCTCCCCGCAGGGGTCACTGGGGCCTTGGGAGGAGGTGGCCGGGGCCCTGGAGGGTGAAGTCGGGTCCTGCCCCAACCCCTCTCCCCCGGGGTCGAACCTGCCGCCACTAGATCCCACTACAGGCACAGCCTCTACCCGAGCAGCTTCCGGCGCGCCCACCACACGTCAGTGTCTTGCGCCCCGGCCCCTCGCTATTTCCGTTCTCCCGGCCCCACAGAGGAAAGGGATCGAGAGAGAAGGCGGCTGGGTTGCAGCGAACTGCTGTCGAGCGAGCAGGCCGAGACTCCGCCCAGAGCCATCCCTTCAGCAGAGCGAGGCTGGCCTGTCCGGGGAGTCAGAGCCAGGCCCATAGAGCTCGCCAGTCCTCCACGTCTAGAAAATCCCCGGAAACGCTTTGCGGGGGACTGGACATAAGGGACCGTCGGTCCCTCAGTCTGTTCCCTCGGTACCTGGAGCCTCAACTGCGAGGCCCGGCGCGCGTCAGGCTCCGTGCGCGCGGTAGCTGGTTCCCGTCTGAGGGATCGGGGGGAGGGGGCGCTGTCCGCACCGTCCCGCAGCTGCTGTCCCCTCCCTGGGTTGTGCATACGGGGAGCGCTGGGCTGGCGCCCATCACTGGAGAGTGAATAGCCCCTTCCAATCCCTGTGAGTGGGGCACCTATTCCTGCGCCCCGTAGACTCTTATCCTGAGCTCTGGGTTCTCCCTCCCTTCCCTGGCCCTACAGAGAGGGGTTTGTAAATCTCCACAACTACCGTACTCTAGTGACTTTTCTATTGTTGCTTGTCCCTTTATTTCGTTAGGCTGAGGCCAGGCTCACCGGACTGCCATTGCCAGGACAGCGCTACTTTGGAGAGATGGCTGCTGAGGAATCCCAACCCCTGTTGAGCTCCAGGAAGCCCAGTGAGCAATGGTTGCTGCCTGCTGAGAGCTTCCCTGTGCTGGATGTCTACCTGAGGTCAGAGCCCTTGCTTTCCTGAGCTGGGGACACTGGAGTTCCTGGCTGAGTAGTAACAAAGTGTCAGTGTATGACTGCCATCCCTACTCTGATGTTTCCAGTGAAGTCTTTCCAGAGGCTTTGCTTGCTCCTTCCCATGTGGGGCTCCAGCCTACATGCCATTTGGCTTTGGAATATTTGACCTTGCTCCTGACTAGACTCCATTCATACTTTATCTAGCTCTCATTTGAGTTCTTTTTCCTACTTTTATTGAATTTGTCAATTAATTAAAAGCGTTTTTTGACTTAGCTCTCACAGAACAAACTAAAAGGCCTCAAACAATACAGTATAGTTTTATAATGTGGCATTCCTGCAACTCTCTCCTGAGACATAGCGGCAAGCTCAGTGATTAATATGGAAGAATGTCACAGTATGAGTTCTGGGCACAGCGGAGTAGAGTGCCTAATGGGTGGGTGGGAAAAAGACTCAGTGAGGAAAGCTGGTTGACATCTGGCTGACTGAAAATGGAGCCAAGGTGGTAAGTTTTAAACAACACTTAGAAAGGGTTTGGATGTACATCTGGATGTCTTCTAAAAGATATGCTCTAGCTCAACCAAAAGTGCTTGAGGCTGGAATCACTCTAGTGAAATTCTGTCACCTGTGTGTTGCTGAAGGTCAGGTCAGATCAGATCATCATAATGGTCCTTTTTGGCCTTAAAAACTATGAACGAGGGCAGAGTGCTCTAGTGAGCTGATGTGACAGTATGAAGGGCTCAGAGAAAATGCAGTTTTTGGGAAAAGAGCTTGCCAAGTTAAATGGGAACACAAGCAGTGGTGAAGACAAAGGCAAGTCTTGTAGTGGGTCATGAGCAAGTGTAGGCCCTTCAAGACAAGGTTGATGTAATTATGTTTGTAACAGGATTCTGAATAGACTGTTTGACTTCTAAGAGCCGCTATAGCCAAAGAGAAGCGAGTGGGGTCTTGAAAGCAACAGAGTAAAACCTGGAGGCACTATGGTCTGATGGATTGGGACTGGGACTTCGGAGACATGGGTTCTATTCCAGATTTGCCACTCTGATGATATGACCTCAGTGAAGTCATTTTGTCATAATTTTTACTCATCTTTTGAAAAGCATGTTGAGAAGTATGGATGGAAAGAGATCTTGAAGTTCTAAAAGTTCTGATTCTAGTTTAAGAAATAAAGATCCTTCAGTTCAAGTTGGATTTTGTCGTGGTACAAAAGTAAGTAGGAGTTAGAGGATGACTGAAAAAATGTTTTTAAAAACATACATGCAGAAACAGAGAGTTGGCTTTGAGTGCTGGGAGATTGATTTTTCTGTATCCAGACCCACCTTGAACTAGTAAATCTTCCAGTCTAAAATCAAAATGGCTTAGAGATGGGATCTGATTGCAGAAATATGTTTAGAGCAGAGGTGGAAAGTTTTGAATTCTCTTGCATATTTTATTTTAGCTGTGATCCTAGGCTGTTGACTGTGACTTATAGCTTGAAATACTGGTCCCATTGAAGTCAATGGAAAAACTCCGATTGACTTTAGTGGCACCAGGATTTCACTGTTTTTAAAATTATGACTGAGTGATACTTATTGAAAAGAGATGTTCCAGTTTATATTTTGTTCAGGTTCTAACCTCACCTGCTACTACCTTGATAGCCTTCTCCACCTCTAACTCTCCCTAAGATGATACCAAAATAGGCAATTTAAATTGTGTGTTCTGGAACACTTAAATTACTTTTTTTATGTATTCAGACATCTCCAGATTCTTACCTGGATTGAGATTGTCTGCTGGCTTGCACTGAGGATTCTGAAACATTGAACTGATCTATTTACATACTTGATTGACCAAGTCACACAATTTGTACATATGAAGGATATTATAAAACAGAATTTTCTTTGGCTTTTGCAGTAATGGGAGAACCAACAATTGTATACACATGCAGAATTTCTGCTTGACTCATGCCTGGCTCTTTTACAGCAAAGTCCAGAACAGAAAGCTATATCTGGCCACCTTTGCTGCTGTTTTGGGACCCCTCAGCTTTGGATTTGTCCTAGGTTACAGTTCACCAGCTATTCCAGATCTGAAGAAAATTAGTGACCCTAAATTAAGATTAGACACCAACGAAGCATCATGGTTTGGGGTAAGTCTCTGCAAGATACATTATAATAATGTGTGACTGATTTGGTAAGAAAAAATTCCTTACACGTTTTCAGTTGTGGGGCAGGTCTATTTTGAGAAGACTATCTGTTTGTATGAGACTAGGCAGGTTGGGTTTAATAATAGAATATGGACTCTTTTGGTTCTAGGTAATTTGTTCAAATTTTAGTGTGAGTGACTGAAAGTTGTTTCCACCTGATGGCTGTTTGGTAGTCTATGAAATGAATTTAGAGTTTTCTGCCTCATTCTATGAATTCACTGCACTTGGCATTAACTGGCCTCCTCTTGGCAGTTTCAATAGAATGTCCAAAGATTAAATGGGCCCTGGAGACTGAGCTCCCCTCTCTCATTGCTAAATGAGATTGCGCTATATTGGGAGAAAAGCATGTTGTAGCAGCTTGCCGGGCCACTGCTGAGGCAGCATCTCTTTACTTAAACAAACAATTGAGGCCCCAGGACAGTGAAGCTGGCCACTGTCTCGAACCTTAAGTTGTACTTTCTAAAAAGATGCATGGTGGTTCTGTTTTTAACTGACTATAGCTAGTATATCTTTTAATTTTTTCTCACTCACACTCACACACACACACACACTCCGCCCCCTACTATCCTTTTGAGGTGGACTAATGATCTTTGGGGATTGCACTACTTTATGAATGGATAGGTAGGCTAGTCTTTGTCCCTTAGTCTAATGACTTCCGTACATCATCTTTTAAACCAAAAAGCATTTTTGGAAAGGCTGTAGAATGTATAGTCATTTATCTATTTGTGTGTGCTTGTTTTCTGAAGTCTGTAGTAACATTAGGAGCTGCTGCTGGAGGAATACTGGGAGGCTGTATGGTGGATAAAGTTGGGAGGAAGTTGAGTTTGATGCTGTGCTCAATACCATATGTCTCTGGGTTTACAATTATCATATCCGCCCAGAATGTCTGGATGCTTTACATTGGACGAATATTGACTGGGTTAGCCAGTGGCATAACTTCACTTGTTGTTCCAGTAAGTGAAACATTTTCTATTTCTTTCTTATTTATTCCGCATAGTCTGGAAAAATGTTGCATGAGATAATATAAACTTAAAACCAGGAGTGGCACCACAGCTATGGCACCCATACAACCTTAACTCTACCCCGTAGTGACACCACGAGATAGCCATATGACTATGATCATAGCATATTAGTGTTTGTGCTCTTTTATATTAAATAGCATTGACTTTAAAGATGGATTACATTTATTTCCTCTTGGTGTGTCTCTGAAAGGCGAAACTTAGGTGATTTGGGTTTCCCAATGGCATTTCCAATCCTCAATATGTTTGGATTTCTTTTCAGTTTAATGTTAACTCTGAATTTCCCAGGTTTATAGTACTTGTTGTTAGTGCGTCACTGTAACACTTTAAAAAAAAATATTATTATTTATTATTTTAAATTATTTTCGGTCTTCACTCCATTTTAACACAGTTTTAGTACAGGAATTTCCTTGTCCTTCTTAACATTTATTTGTTTAATACATAAAGAGTAAATAAAACCAAGACTACATATCTTCAATTTTTAGTATCTTTCTAAAACTTTAACTCTTAGGGTCAGATTCACTACTAGGCTGTAGCAGCTTTACAGCATTTTGGAGCAGTGCAAAGCAGGCAGAATGTATACATCAGTTTACTTCTATCTCCTGACTTTCATTTTTCCCTGTGCGCGCACATGTGTGCGCACACACACTAGTTTTCCCCTCAGTTTCCCCTACCTTCACCCCTCCCCTTCCCTTTTGTCCTCCTTTGTGAGCAGATCTAGTGTAATTCATAGTTTTTGAAGGGATCCCAGTGTTTCCAGCTCTTGCAAAGTAAATGTAACCTTAAGTCTCTGGAATTAGACAGCAAATAAAAATTCCAAAATTCATTATTGGCTTAAATCATGAGACTTCAAAAAAATTTGTTTTTTAAACATTTGTGGTTGGCATATTGTATAGCTGCATTTTCCATTACTGAAAGTTTATTTGTTGTTAGACTGCATTAATGACTTCAGAGAAACTCTCAGAACTGTTCACTTTCAAAAGGGCTGCCCTATTCTGTTCTATAGGACTGAGGCCTCAGTTAATTAGCCTCTGGCTTCAGCCCTTATTGTTTGTTATAAGAGATGGCAGCAACTTTGAAAGAAAGGGGTTCTTTGTGAAATTATCTGAAAGAACACTTATTTGTCTGTCCTTGCCAAAGAAGAAACTTTCCCTTATGAAGAAAAATGGCATTAAAGACCATTAATCCTATTTTCCCCCGCTCCTCCCCCCAAACAACAACAACAACAAAACCAACCTTCAAATGTAGCCTATTCCTCAGAGGGATTTCAATTATATGGGAATTTTTAAAGTCTATTTTGTGACTAAAATTATTAGGGGGACACAAGGTTTAAGTCCCAATGCAGGGATGACCTAGTATTTACCAGAGATTGATTTGATTTGTTGTTTGTTTGTTTTTACCAGGTAAAATCATGGTTGTTACTGCCCTGGGAAAAACTAGTTAGTTCCAATTTAAGGCATTTTCTATTTGAAAAACTATATTTTATGAATGCATATCACATTACACTTAGTTTTAGTTACATATGCAAACTGGCATCCGAAGAAGTGGGCTGTAGTCCACGAAAGCTTATGCTCTAATAAATTTGTTAGTCTCTAAGGTGCCACAAGTACTCCTGTTCTATATGCAGACTGTGGCTACATAAGGCAGCAGGGTTGAACAAATAAAATGTAAAACTGCAATTATGATATGGAATGTATGTTTATATATTTTGGTTTGGTATTTTTCTCAAGGAAGTTATAAATGTCATTTCTCCTATTTCAGTTCTCAATATTACATAAACAAAAATCAAACATTTTGATTTGATGAAAAATGAGAATGGAGAGGTGTAGGCTTGAAGCATTAAGCAATCAGAAGCCTGCAGAATTGCACACTACCATTCCAGATCAATTTGGCCATACAGCATTTGTAGCAGAAGACAAACTTTGATGTAGTGTATAGACTGAGCCTATTCCTCAGTTTTGAATGGATGTATCCAAATCTTTTCAAGCTTTGTTCTATGCTTGCTGGACACTGATGCAATTATTTTTTCTGGTTTAAATCTCTATTTACCAGCACCCTGTCCTAAACTAGTTTTTCCCAGGAAATTGTGAACCCTGACCCAATGTGAAGTTTCTTATGGGACTATCTTAAAATGAACTTGTTTGACATAACTTGAACAGATTTTACTTTTAAATTCTTAAAACTCATTCTCTGCCCAAAGAGTAAGGACACTGATTTGGGACGGAGCCAATATATTCTTCACATGTAACAAAAGATGAATCCCTGCTTTAAATGCAAAACCTAACTCTGTCATAACTATGGAGCCATGGTGGACACCTCCATAATCGCTTATAGGGCTCAAGTGACTTTAAAAGTGGGGGTTTTATGATAGTGTGACACTGCCAGTATAGTGTATGGGGAGGCAGGAGCTGGCAAAATCAGATTTCCATTATCTGAAACAGGGTAGGAAGTATGGAGTTTTTTATGTTGAATTAAGATGCTAAAGTCTTAAGCCATGACCTACAAAGGGTTCTTTTCATAATACAAGAACAAGGGGCCACCAAATGAAATTAATAGGTAGCAGGTTTAAAACAAACACAAGAAAGTATTTTTTCACGCAACGCACTGTCAACCTCTGGAACTCCTTGCCAGAGGGTGTTGTGAAGGCCAATACTATAACAGGGTTCAAAAGGGAGTTAGATAGGTCCATCAGTGGCTATCTTCCATGAATCTATTAGCCAGGATGGGCAGAAATGGTGTCCCTAACGTCTGTTTGCCAGAAGCTGGGATTGGGTGACAGGACATGGATCACTTGATGATAACCTGTCTGTTCATTCCCTTTGGGGCACCTGCCATTGGCCACTGTCGGAGAACAGGATACTGGGCTTGATGGACCTTTGGTCTGACCCAGTATGGCTGTTCTTATGTTCTTAAGGGTTGTGTGCAGCTGAATCCCTCATGCACAGAGCCCCATTCAAGTCAGTGGAGTTGTCTGGGGCTCACCTCTGTGTATCTGTTACCAGAACTGTGGACTTATTTTGTAGTTCACATTCAGCATCCATGTCTGGGATGCTAACTTATTGTCTTCTATGCAAGTGGTGGCATTTTGATAATTTTTGGCACGTTTGTTGGTATTTTTGGCAGAGCCTTTCATGCTACCAATGTAAAGTCCCAAAAGTGACACTGCTGGTTCTAGTCGTTCCAGTGTAGCTGCTTAAGATTCATGTTGGGACAATGTGGCTGTATTTTAACAAGTTCTTTTCAATATCAGCTGTTCTTACTTTTTAAAAACTTTTTTGTTAATATTTTCTAATTATGCATTTTTAGGTGTATATTTCTGAAATATCCCACTCAAAAATTCGAGGAACACTTGGCTCATGTGTTCAGCTGATGGTGGTGACTGGTATACTGGGAGCTTACGTTGCAGGTATTGCACTTAGTTATACAATCCTAGAAATGTTGGGCTGGAAGGGACTCTTGAGTGGGCATCAAATCCAGCCCCCTGTGCTGTAGCAGGACCAAGTAAACCTACACCATCCCTGACAGGTGTTTGTCCAACCTGTTCTTAAAAACCTCCAATGGAGGATACCACAACCTCCCTTGGAAGACTGTTCCAGAGCTTAACTACACTTAAAATTAGAGAATTTTATGTAATAGCTAACCTAAATATCCTTTGCTCCAGATTAAGCACGTTACTACTTCTGTCTTCAGTGTACGTGGAGAACCGTCCTCTTTCTAATAGCCTTTGACATATTGGAAGACTGTGATGAGGTCCCACCAGTTGTTTTTTCTCAAGACTAAATGTGCCTAGTGTGCTTTTGTTTTTAACCTTTCCTCATAGGTCAGGTTTTTCTAAACCTTTTTATTATTTTGATTGCTGTCCTCTAGGTTCTGTCCAGTTTGTCCACTTCTTTTCTTAAGTGCGGTGCCCAGAATTGGACATAGTACTCCAGCTGAGGCCTCACCAGTGCCAAGTAGATTGGGACAACTACCTCCCAGGTCTTGCATAAAACATTCCTGTTAATACATCCCAGAATATGATCCTCTTTGCATCACATTGTTGACTCGCATTCAATATGTGATGTATAATGTTGTCCAGATCCTTTCAGCGGTATTACTGCCTCACCAGTTATTCCCCATTTGATAGTTGTGCATTTGATTTGTCCTTCATAAGTGAAGTACTTGCACTTGTCTTTATTGAATTTCATCTTGCTGAATTCACACCAATATTCCAATTTGTCAAAGTTCTTTTGAATTCTAATCACAGAACCATAGATGATTATGGTTGGAAGAAACCTCAGGAGGTCATCTAGTCCAACCCCCTGCTCAAAGCAGGACCAACACCAACTAAATTATCCCAGCCAGGGCTTTGTCAAGCTGGGCCTTAAAAACCTATAAGGATGGATATTCCACCATCTCCTTAGGTAACCCATTCCAGTGCTTCACCACCCCACTCCTGGTGAAATAGTGTTTCCTAAAATCCAACCTAGACCTCCCCCACTGCAACTTGAGACCATTGCTCCTTGTTCTGTCATCTGCCACCACTGAGAAGAGCCGAGCTGCATCCTCTTTGGAAACCCCCTTCAGGTAGTTGAAGGCTGCTATCAAATCCCCCCTCACGCTTCTCTTCTGCAGACTAAATAACCCCAGTTCCCTCAGCCTCTCCTCATAAGTCATATGCCCCAGCCCCCAATCATTTTTGTTGCCCTCTGCTGGACTCTCTCCAATTTGTCCACATCCTTTCTGTAGTGGTGGGCCCAAACCTGGATGCAACACTCCAGGTGTGGCCTCACCAGTACCGAATAGAGGGGAATAATCACTGCCCTCGATCTGCTGGCAATGCTCCTACTAATGCAGACCAATATGCTGTTAGCCTCCTTGGCAACAAGGGTACACTGCTGACTCGTATCCAGCGTCTCATCCACTGTAATCCCCAGGTCCTTTTCTGCAGAACTGCTGCTTAGCCAGTTGGTCCCCAGCCTGTAGCGGTGCATGGAATTCTTCCGTCCTAAGTGCAGGACTCTGCACTTGTCTTTGATGAACCTCATCAGATTTCTTTTGGCCCAATCCTCCAATTTGTCTAGGTCACTCTGGACCCTATCCCTACCCTCCAGTGTATCTACCTCTCCTCCAGCTCTCTCTCAGCTTGGTGTCATCTGTGAACTTCTGAGGGTGCAATCCATCCCATCATCCAGATCATTAATGAAGATGTTGAACAAAACCAACCCCATAACCGACCCCGGGACACTCCGCTTGATACCAGCTGCCAACTAGAGAGCGAGCCGTTGAGAACTACCCATTGAGCCTGACAATCTAGCCAGCTTTTTATCCTTAACCTGTTCTTTCACCACTGAGGGCTGCACATTTCTTGGCCTCCAAAGTGCTTGCAACTCCTCCTAGCTTGATGTCATCTGCAAATTTTGTAAGCATACTTTCCACTCCATTATCCAAGTCATTAATGAAAATATTGCATAGTAGTGGAGCCACAACTGATGCCTGTGGAACCCCACTAGATACGTCCTCCCAGTTTGACAGTGAACCATTGGTATTGTTCTTTGAGTACGGTCTTTCAACCAGTTTTGCATTCATCTTCTAGTAATTCCATCTAGACCACATTTCCCTAGTTTGCTTAGGAGAATGTTGTGTAGGGCTGTGTCAAAAGCCTGACTAAAATTGAGATGTATCACATCATCTGCTTTCTCCCATCCACTTGGCCAGTAACCCCATCAAAGAAGGAAATTAGGTTGGTTTGGAATGATTTTTTTTGTTTTTTTTTTTTGGATAAATCCATGCTGGCTATGTGGGATGCAGGGCTAGTGAAACTTCTCCAGACTTCAGGAGGAGAATCAACACATACTCAGGGAACCACTTTGAGGAAGGGGAAATTGTACACAAATTGCTTTATCAGCAGAGCTAGTACAGCTCACTATAATGCGGACAAATGTCAGCTGATTCTCTTCATTTATGTTCCTTCCCCTTCCTGCCTCAGGAATGGCACTCAGATGGCGCTGGCTGGCTGTGCTATGTTCTTTCCCACCCTGCATAATGCTCGTGTTCATGTCCTTCATGCCTGAAACACCTAGGTTCCTGCTGAACCAGAAAAAACGCACTGAAGCTATGGCTGCTTTACAGTTTCTACGGGGATCAGAGGTGGACCATGAATGGGAATGCAGGCAGATTGAAACTAGTGCGGAGGAGCAGGTGATGAAGATTTTTGTTCTGGGTTACACTAAAAGCTTTTTTTATTCAGTAAAGAAGAAACGTGGTTGAATATGGTTATTACATACTTTGTGTATATGGTCAGAGATAATAGTGAAATAATTGTTTCAGGACTTGATTGTTATCTTAAGTGTGACTTCTTCCCTTCTCCCTCCGGCTGCCGAATTACGGTATAGGAAATGAGACTAGAACACTGTGCATCTATACCTGTGTGGCCTGGTTTGCACATTCTTAGGATCCAAAGCTCCCACTGAAGTCCGTTGGTATTACAGATGCATGTGGAGTGGAGGATCGGGCCTCAAATCCCATTTTTAATAATTTGTAGCAGGTACCTAAATCCTTTCAGCTCCTCATTTGCATTGGGTGATTAAATAGCTGAACAATATGAAAAACTAGGAGGAAATGGAAATAGTAGAAGTATTGGCCCAAAATCTTCTCTCTTAATGCTGACATAAACAAGAGGTTGGTGAACTTTTTTGTTTTTGCCGCGCCGCCCCTCCCCCCCCCCCCCCCCACACACACACACACACAC